CTGACTGATAAAAGATGCAGACGAATAAGGTGCTATAAAATGAAGTAATCAGGCAAGTAGAACAGAATTTCAATTTCTAAATAAATGCGAACTCTGATGACAAAAGAAGTCACTTCCAACTTTTGTGAGGGGAAAAAAATAATTCTGGTTCCAGGAGGTTTTCTGCATTTTTTTTGTTTGATTTTTATATTCCTCATGATGCCAAATTCCTGCTTCCTATAAACAGCAGAAGTAACTATTACTTCAGCATGGTGCCCCCACATCTATATAGCCACCAACATGGCCGTAAAGCTCTAGCTGTACTAGCCTGAAAATCAAGGCTTAAAAATCATGAAGCTACCTGTTGTGTCATGAGCACAAGATTAATATTTATGTACAGAACCTGAACAAAATCAACTTTCAGCATTTGGCAAGAATTAAAACACCATTTGCTAAGAGGGGCATCTAGATGATTAGCTTCTAGAGAACTCAACCTATATATAAGTAATAATTCATAAACCTTACAGTTTCATAAATATCACAGCTCGGATCCTTCAAGCACTTGTTATTAAAGCTATTCAGATACATAAATGTTTACTGACTTTGTGTGTTAAAATATGAACTGACATGAACTTAAACACAGCTTTTAAACACCCAGTCCCTTTCTGCACTCTGTACAGATTTTCTGAGCAGCAGAGGAGGAAAATGGAATAGATTTAGACAAGCATAGAGTGGCTATTTGCAAATATATGCACAGAAAACTTACTTTAATACTAATACAGATTTGGAAAGCTTATTGGCCGCGTTTAGGTACATGGTCAGTAAAAAGCTACAACAGCTGACATCCATCACCCATGCCAAAGTACTCTAGAAACAGTGCTAAGGAAGGGAAAGCAACTGTTTTTCCCCTGTCATGGTTTAAACCCAGCTGTTAACTCAGCACCACACAGCTGCTCCCTCTCCCCCCTTCCTTAGGCCGGCTGGGGAGGAGAATCGAAAGAACGTAAAACCCACAGGTTGAAGTAAGAGCAGTTTAGAAACTAAAGTACAATATACTACTATACTAATAGTACTACTAATGATAAGGAAAATAACAAGGGGAGAGAATATAAAACTAAAAAGGGGAAAGGGAAAAAAACCCAATAAACACAAGTGATGCACGATACATACAAGTGATGCTCACCAGCCGCTGCCCAACCCGAGCAGCGATCAGTCCCTTCTGGGAAACTCCCCACAGTTTACATACTGGGCATGATGTGCTGTGGGATGGAATACCCCTTTGGCTAGTTTTGGTCAGGTGTCCTGTCTCTGATTCCTCCTGGCTTCTTGTATCCCTCTTCGCTGGCAGAGCATGAAAGACTGAAAAGTCCTTGGACAGAGTAAACGCTTCTCAGCAGCACCTAAAAGCATTGGTGTGTTATGAGCATTATTCTCAGACTAAAGTCAAAACACAGCACTGTACCAGCTACTAGGAAGAAAAATAACCATAACCCAGCTGAAACCAGGACATCCCCTCAGCTAGCAGAAGGTAGAAGAATATTTTATATATCATATGCCCTCTAGAAACAGATGGTACTTGAAGAAGCAGCCCTGAAAAAAGACCACACTCAGAACACATTAGAAGTCTCCCAAATATCCTCTTCCTTAACAAGTGTGGCATTTTGTACCTCTGGCTTTGTCTTCATCCAATATAATGAACCCACAGAGATGTCCAAGCTGGGACAGAGCTAGTTCTCCTTTAGTTCTTATAGGCAAGTGCAACAAACTGTGGTAAGACATGAAGTTTGGATTGTCTTATGAAGTAAAAATAGATACAGCATATTTTAAAGGAATTGTGATATTTCATCTTGGAATGCTGCATTATAAATTATTTAATAATAGTAATAAAATTTATTCCATCTCTAGGCTCAACCAACAGTCTTGTCCAATTGCTGGTATCAAATATACCAATAATGCAAATCCCTCTTGCCAGGCCTTCCCACTTGCAGATAAAAGTTACTTTCTCCTCAGTAAACATGAAATCTCTTGCACAAGCAGAAGCCTCCCAAGATCTCCCCTTCTGGCTTTTCTTTAAAGGGTTGTCAGAGGAGAAGGGTTAGATATATTATTAACAAGTTCCCAACCCATGTGGAAGTTGGCACATCTCATAAGGTCTGTCCTTTTTCTCTAAAAAATGAGAAATCCCACAACAGAAAGAACCACAAAGTATAATTCTGCAAAATCCCCTTTGCCAGTAGAGCTACTGGTTCTTCTAAATTGGGACTCGGGAAAGCCAGTAAAGAAAGAAAATAAATTTTCCTTGCAGGTAAGTTTTCTCCTGAAAGCCACCAGGACCTGGATCTAGTAAAGGCTCTCTCAAGATGGAAAAATCAAACCTCATGTAATTAATTACAGGGAAGGAGTCTCTGTCTCTATTGGTTTAGATGATATGAAAAATTAAACATTAGCCAACTCCCATACAGTCATTACCCCCGCTTTTATGCACAGCTCTAACCCCCTTTTCTGATAGAAAAGGGACAAAGGGGAAACCATCTCAAAAACAAATTCTCTTCTACATATGAAGAAAATCTAATTAGCTACCAGACCTATACATCTCTATGGATGTTTTTCTCTAAGCCCCCCCCCAACAAATACCTAGGTGTTTTTCACTAGCTATCTCCCCTGTGTTTGAAATTGTCTTGTAGGCTCTCACAGTTTAGTGCTTTACAATGACTGGGTTTGATTCCTTTATCAAATATGGAAGTTTCCTTTTATTTCCATCTCCACTGTACAACAGTACAAATGTCTTAACCAAAAATCTTTCTTCTACACATTTTAAAAGGCAGCAGATTATTTTCTTGTAGGGTTATTTAGATATCAGGGAAAGAAAGAGACAGAAAACTACCTTCAAATATTACCTTAAATTGGGCACTTAAAATTTTAGTGAAAAAAAAACCCAACAACCCAAAACAAACCAATTCAAGCTCAAAATGAAATTACAACATATTCAAAGTGAACTCAGTACTCACAGAAATTATACAGCACAAAAGAAAAATTCTACCTTCCAATGCAAAAACCAGCAAAATTACAAGCTGCTTAGCCAAGAATTAGCCCTCATACTGAACTACTTATGTGAGGGCTTGTGAGTCTGATGCCTCAAGCAACCAAAAGGTAGCTGCCTTTGATCACTTGGCCGTCCAGGAGCTCATGAGGACACAGACATGTTGTACAAGCACAGAGGATGACACTAAAGCTTTTCACTCCTGCAGACTAAGCATCAGCCAGACACTAGCACACAGAGCTTTGAGCTGTGACCTCAGGCTAAAGGCTTTTACTCCTTTACTACACACTACTCCATTTCCAGAACTGTGACTTCTTACTAGAACTACAGATAGACAAGACATTCAACTGTTGTGCTGCATACGACACTGTATGATTAACAGATGACATTGTGTTATTAGTAACACTCAAATACACAGCTCTGTAATTTGCCCTCACTTTGTAATGATCTTCAGGAACAAAGTGACTGAACTTGTCCATCTGGAACCCACACCTGGCAGGATATGCCTGCACGCTGCCTGACGGCTGTGCCCTGTGCTACCACCACCACAGCTCCAGCCACCCACACTGGAATGTTCAGGGGTTCAGAGTCTGGGTCACGAATGCACCGCATAGAGAGAGTAGGAAGCAAGAGCACAACTCATGGAAAAATGGGGTGAACAGAGAAGGAACAGAATAAAAGAAAAAAATGGCAAACCCCTGCTTTTTCTAACAAACAAGCCTCCTGTGTGAAGAGGCTCTAGATCACGAAGCATTTGCATCAAGAGTAAGGACTGTACTATCGTTTTCATAACGCTGTAACACTGCGCCCTGTCCCTCTTGCAGCAGTTACGGCCCACGCTCAACGGCAGACCTCTCCCGCAGATGAGTCTCTGCAAGACACCCGACGGTGCCATCTCCAGGTCGGACCTCGCCCTGCCACACAGCACCGAATGTCTCCAGCTGCTCCCCTCCTCGAGGTGTAAACGCTCTCTCTCCCCAAGGAGAGACCCCTGTACTGGCTGCCCCTGCGTTTCTCCGGCCTGCGCCCCCAGGCTGCTCCACTGTCCTACCGCTCCGCACCGCACAGCACCGCACCGCACAGCACCGCGCCGCACCGCACAGCACCGCGCCGCACCGCACAGCACCGCACCGCACCGCACAGCACAGCACAGCACCTCACAGCACCTCACAGCACCTCACAGCACAGCACCGCACCGCACCGCACCGCACAGCACAGCACAGCACAGCACCTCACAGCACCTCACAGCACAGCACAGCACCGCACAGCACCGCACCGCACCGCACAGCACCGCACCGCACAGCACCGCACCCCAAGCAGCAACACCCCAACCGGCCCCGGGCCCGCCTCTCACGCACCCAAGGCCCTGCCCCGGCCGCCTGCCGGGGGGCGGTGTCCGCAGCTCCCTCCCCGCCCCGCGCCGCTTTACGACAGCTGGAGGTGGCTTTGCGGCTTGCTAGAGTACCGTACGGCGAGGGGGGCCCTCCGTGAACTCGTCCTGGCGATCGCCAGTGCGCGGGGCCGGGGTGGCCATGGTGAGTGCGGGCAGGGCCTGGCGGGGCTCGCTGTAGGAACCGGGCGCTGCTTCTGTATGGGCCGGCAGCTCCTAGGCCCTTCCCCTGGCCGAGGAGCTCGGTTCGTCCTTGGCTCGGCCTGTCCGTAGTACCGACGGGCCTGGGGCCGCGCGGGAGGGTGCTGACCCGCACAGGCCGCGGCGGCGCATCGGCCCCGGTACTCCGGGGTTAAAGTGGAGCCGCCGAGCGAGACGGTGCTGCTAGGCTGGGATTCTCTCGTTCCCGCAGCTGGGGGGGTTCCCACTGCTCCCGGACGCGCCTGAGCCCCGGCCCCGCTGCCAGCAACAGCTGCGCCAAATGTCGTGGTGCCCCTACGTTCATCTATAGCAGCAGAGTACTATTTACTCCTACACAGCTGGAGTAAATAGTATAATGACCAGTTTCCCCTAGTCATGCGGGTTTAAATGTATATACTGACCTGCTGTAGAGATTGCCAGGTGGGCTTTTTGTCTTTTCCTTTGGTAAACAGGTGTTTTATGTGTTCCCTGTGCAGGCCAGTACAATGGTGGCAGTTGGTCTGACCATAGCAGCAGCTGGATTTGCAGGTTTGTAGATGATGGGAGAGCACTGAACACCCAGATGTACTTAACCATTGCCTGCTTCAGTATGGATGAATTTTAAGGTAGTTCAGTAGCTGATACAGGATGCCCTTTTGGGAGAGCCTGTATTGAGAAACATGGCTGTGATTAAACAGAAGATCTAAGTAATTTTTTTTTTACATCCCCAAAAATTCATTCCTGTTCTAATCCACAAGTTACCAGTTGCCCTGAATTGCTAAATCTTCATGAAGTGTTACACTTAGCCATGTTCAACACTGATTTCTTTAAGGTCGCTATGCACTAAAAGCTATGAAACAAATGGAGCCACAAGTAAAACAAGCACTTCAGAACCTACCAAAACCTGTAAGTTTTTTGTTTTATCAGAAACATCTTTCTATTTAAAAGTTTACTTGGTGAAATAGCTACAGATTATTGTCTCTGTAGCATTATTGTGTTTTCTAATGCTAAAGATAATTTTGTCAATAATAGTAGAATTAATCTCAGTTCTGGTGGAGGTTGACTAATAAAGAACTTGTTTTGGTAAGTACTCATACAAATAATGCTCCTCTACTTCAGCTGTATTTATTACAAGCTCAAAAGAAGCTTTGCGGTATTCTTACAGACTAAAAGCTCAGCAGCTACTAATGTAATAACGAGCTGTTTTAACTGATTAACTTAAAAATCAGTGTATTGTAAACTAACATGTTTTCTCTTTCAGGACTTCAGTGGCTATTACAGAGGTGGATTTGAACCCAAAATGACTAAACGAGAAGCAGCTTTAATACTAGGAGTGAGGTAAAAGGAAATTTATTAGAAATCAAAAGGAGGCCAAGTGTACCTGGTTGCTGGCCTAGATGGAATAGGATGTAATTCTTGATGCTGAAGGCTGTCCTATGCCCATCTTCCTCTGGGAGTGTCACTGCAAGTTAGGAGACATGAAGTGGCCTTTCAGGATTTTCTGTACTTATTTGGGATTCTTGGTGGCATGTTAGCTTGCTTAAAGCTACTTCTAGCTGGACTTCTGTATGTCTGCAAATCACTAGCACATTTCAAAGCCACATATGCCATGTTCAGGAAGCCTCAGGGTTTGCTCAGCTTGGGGCTCACATTTGTGTTGGTTGCTTGTGGGTTGTGTCACTGTGGTGCATTTCAGATAGATGCAGTGTGAAGGTGCTGCAAACCTGCTCCTTGCATTTGGAGTAAATTCATCTCTTATTCTGGAATATCTTAGATACAAGTATGGTAGCTGGCCCTGCCCGAATTTAAAGAGACTTAAGACCAGATACACAAGTTTATTTAATGAGATGGAGAACAAGAACTGTTTCTGTTTGAAGGCAACTTCTGCCTGAAGTTTGTGTACAGACAGTTTGTTGTTGTTATTGGGTTTTGTTTTCTTTTTTAAATTAAGAGGAAATTTATTGTCCTCCAGCCTTGAGGAAGTTGACACAATAAAATGTTAGAACATAGCTGTGTTTCTTTTTAACTGTGTGAATGACCCGAACCATATTAGACTGCTGTGGCATGTCCTCTTCAGCATGCAGTGCCTGGAAAAAACTTCAGGAACCCTCCCTACAACTTAGATGTTACACATCAGTAACAGCAAAAGAAACAAATGCATGTAAGCCAGAGGGTTTCTGGATAAGACAGAGTGCTAGCTTGTTCTAACACACCTTTTAAAGACTTGGGGGGGGGGGGGGGGGGGGGTCGGTGGGGTTCCCTCAAATTAGTTTTTCTCTCTCTTCTAAAGCCCTACAGCAAACAGAAGTAAAATCAGAGAAGCTCATAGACGAATCATGCTTCTGAATCATCCAGATAAAGGTAAGTCACGTTGATTAATTAATTCATGTTTTTAACATGTTAATAGAGCTGTGTTGGGAAAAACTGACACGTGACTACCTCAGCTACTAGAAAAACCCCCAGAAAACTGGAGTGAAAACAAATTTTAGGGTGCTTTAATATGGGAGTGTATTTTTGTGTTTGAATGCTCTAAAGCAAGCAGGCAGCTTCAGCGGATCAGCTTCTGTCACTTGCTCTATCTTCTTTGTGCATTGGATTAAAGTACAATTTGTTAAAACAAGACTTAAAATTATCTTAATTTTAGATGAAAGCTCAGAGTATGTTTCTGTGCTTTATGTACTGTATGAGTTTCAGTTCATTTGAGTGCATGGGCAATTCACTGTAAATAGCAAGTATTGAGCCTTCTGTATCTGATGAAGACACTAAACTATGAAATATTTGCATTTGTGGTACTCTGAAGGCTCAGAATCTAGTTATGCTTTAAGTTAGTAACTTGAGGCACCTTTACCTGTTTTGCATTCTGTTTAGTTTGTGTGAGTCAGAATCATGTGATAGTGCTTGGCAGTTAACTTCTTAATCCTCACTTAAAAGGCAAAATGCTTCCTTTAAAGTGAACATGGAACTTTGTTACTGTACTTACATGCACCAAAATCCAAACTAATCCTTGAGCTATGCCTTTCACAGAGAATACCTAGCAGAAGTTAACTTCAAAATTAACTTAATTGAATATATGCATGTAGCCAATAACTGCTGGGAGCATTTCACCTTTTACATGACCTAAGTAAGTTAACTTCAGATAAAGGAAGTAATTCCAGTACTAGTAAATGGCAGACATAATACAAACATGCTATAAATCTTCGCACCTCAGGGTCAGGTACAACTTCAGAGCATTTGCATAGTGGATTCTCTTTTCAGTATCATTGTTAAGCATGTCATGTTTACGAACTGAACCAGTCTGCTGGTACCGCAGCAGTTCACATGTTGGCTTTGAACTGGGGGGAAACATTTATCTGCAGACTTGGTAGTTTGATGCTGCTGTATTCACAACAAACTTCACAGTAAGTCGTTAGCAACCAGCATTCATTTATGACTTGGAAAACCAGAGGAAAAACTCACTCCAATTAACCAAAACCAACCCGATGGGAAGGAGCTGCCTACCCACCTGGCTACTGCAGGTGTAAACTGAAAGGGCTTCAGCTGTAAGAGTTTACTGTGAATAATTCACTTTACTGTGAATAATTTTCAGACTATCTTCTTGCTTCTTTTCCTATGTACTGTGGCATTAGTAACAATGCAGAAGAAATTTTTTTCACTTGAGGTGACACGAGGTTATCTTTCTTCTAGGTGGCTCTCCATATGTAGCAGCCAAAATCAATGAAGCTAAAGATTTATTGGAAGACCAGGCTAAAAAATGAGAAAATCAGAGGGTTTGTCCACGCAAATGATTATTTTTGATAAATGGCTCAAGAAAAGTTCTAATGTCAGTCTTTGACTTAATATAAATTAAGCTGGAAATATGAATTCAGGGAGGTACTTCCCTCCCGACTCACTTCTTAGTTACTTTTTGGGGAAGTTTGTGAGCAAGCGAGACTTCAGGGTTTTGTTTTCATAGCTGTTCTTTATTAAGCTGCAAAATCTGCCACTCAGAACTGTTTTCAGTGTAAAAGAGTACTAAGTGGTTTGGTCAATGCATGTTACCAGACTTCCTTGCCGTTACCTAATTTTTGTTAAAGTAGCTATGTTTGAAGTTCATGGTGCTGTTCTTCCACATGCCAAAGGCAGCACGAGGGACCGTTTTGGGGAGCAGGTGTTAAAAAACAAGAGGATTTATTTGATGGGAAGGATTGGACAGATGTGGTTGTCTATGGCTGAAGAAATAAAGTATAGGAAACTACATGCTAAATTGTCTTTGCCTTGTGAATAACAAGGTTGGTTGAGCTGCTTCAGCATTGCTGATGGGTCTGGAATGTCCCAGATTTTTTAGTAACTTTCAGTTTTTAATGAATTTTATAGCATTTAATAAATCCTAAATTTGTATTAAGTACTGCAGTTCTATACATTATCTTATATTACAAAGTTAGAATTCACGTAAGGTTTGCATTTATAACTGGGGAACAGGAACTCTTTACATCAACCATGAAAGATCTCGAAGCTGAATCTGTTGTGCAGCACAGTGCCCAAGTATACAAATTACAGCCAGTGAGTTCAGCTGTACTCCACAAATCCTGACAGCCTTCTGCAGTTATGGTAACCTTGCTCTGCTGTACAGCATCTGTAAGGGTTAACACCTCTCTGTTTGTAAATATGGTGGGTTTCTGAGCTTTCAGTTGTCTGGCACTGGCATGCCTCTGCTTCAGAGTACAACTCTTAAGTGCTGTCCCATCCTCTTTGCCTGCATTGCTGCTCCTTACAGCCCATTTAGCAAGTATTACGAGAACAACAGGAAGGAGTTCTGGGCCTTCCAAAAAGAGGATCAAATCAGTAGCATGAGTATGAAATGGAAAATGTTTAGAACCAGGATGGAGGGAGCAGTTACTTCACTTTACTACAGGATTTATTTAAAGTGGAGCGAAAAGCACAGCTAGAACACTGCCATGAAGTGGTTCCAGAGCAGGTGCATCACAAGCCATATGCAGAAGTTTGCCACTGCCTTTTTAAACAGCACCTTTTGCTTCCCTGGTTTTCAAATTCTTTTCACGCCTGTGGCTGCTGAGTTACAGCAATTTAACTCGTTTTCCTGGAGGGAACATTGTGAGTGAGTGTCAACAATTCATATTGAAAGCTGCGCATCTTCTTACATGAAATACCCTGTTCCAGCTGGCACAGCGCTTCTGCAGCTGCATCAGGTGCAGCTGCTGGAGTCACCGGTGGCTCAGAATACTTGTGTTCATCCTTCCTTGCTTCTGACAAAATCAGGTAAGACGTCTTTTTTTGTCTTTGAAGTCAGCACAACTTCAGTGGTACCTGTTTGCTCTGACTTTTTATATCATCTCATTGCTACCCAGATGTTTTTCCACACCTGTGGCTTCTTCACTGCTCATGTGCCTGAGACAACTGGTTAGTGTGTCACACTTCCAACTTAATCACAAACAACATTTGCATTTATTCCTATATATGTTAGTCAGGTTATGTGATTCTCCATGACATGAAGTCTGATTTTAGACTTCACTGATGTTTTACATCATCACCATAAAGAATGGAAGATTAGCACATTAAAAACTCTTACAAAAGTAAGAGTTAAAGGTTCAAGCTGCCTTGCAAGTTAAGTTCCAATTATGGCAATAGCTTGAATCCTTATAGTAATCCTTAAAGTAATTTAAATTTCTGATAGAAACAGTCAACAGATGGAAGATCAAAGTTTATTTTACTACCAGCATACAAAAAAAACATATTGCACATCAAACAACCAAAACAAAAATAAAAATACTCTACTAAGGACTAACATATGTAGTTTATACAGAATAAACTTTCTGGAAATTGATCTTTTCAGTAGTTCAGGTTATGTCTTAATGGACATGACTAATTCAGCTTAGTGTTAACTAAAGCTATGTTTGATTTTTAAATACTGTACAGTTTAATAAATAAACCAAACAAAGCCTCAATGTAGAACAGTCACTGCCAATGTCACCCAGTATCCCTGCAGATTATGAGAATTTAACAAATGTATTCCAGTGGTCTGCAGATTTTTCCTCTACATACAGCATTTAAAAAACATGTATTAAAACAGACCAGTTTCCAGACTAAACTAATGGAGAAATTACATTTCAGTGCAAAATATTTTAGACTGCATTTCTTTCTAGTATTCCTCAGGTGAAGAAGTGGTTGCATATTATTAAAAATGTAACAAAAGCAGCTAATGCTTTCATAAAGAGTATTATGTTAGGGATCCCCCTCACATCTTTGCCATATTTTGAAAACAAAATAACATTTCCTATAGCCAGCAATTTTGTTTATTTAAATGTTACATATACTATCTCAAGGCACATCTGATGATATATTTATAACACAGTAGGTGTCAAAGTATGTTTAACATATGATTTCTTCAGGATCCCTCCCCTTTCTGTATTCCAAAATGGAGGAACTGAAAGTGCGGTGTCAAGACTGGCGATCCATATTCTATCTTTGGCAAGCTTATACAAGCACTATTTTAAATGTAATGTAGAAGAACTGTAAACTAGGGACTTCAGTTTATGAAACACCATTCAGCACGGCTTCTTCCTGATTGTTTCCATCCTCCTGAACAGTAACTTTCTTCTCATCAGGAGTGTGCTGTACTTTCGAAGGCTCATCCCCAGAAGTTGCAGCAGGACCATTCACTGCCTTTTCAGAAGTGCTGTTTTCATCAATAGCATCTTTTGCCTTGAAAAAACAAAACCAGGATAATATTATAAATATACAGTGTCACCTGAGTTTCCCTCCGGCTCAACCACAATTCTGCAATAGGAAACACCTCCTGCCAGCCTGTGCTAGTACCCTGCCACTGACAGCACCCTGTTACTTACCTTGCCCTTTATAGGACACTGCTGTACTAACACTTGCAAGGAAACAACGCAAAGGTAAACCTGAGGAGCCACAGTCCCAGCAGACCCAGAAAGCTTCACTTCATTTGTCTAACCCAAAGAAACAGCTACCTGACAAGTAGAGCTTCACACCCCTTTCATTGTCTATTTTAAGAGTAGGTTTTACTAATCATACAACAGTGGATCTTATTTTGCTAACCTCAGACATAACTTGCATCAGCAAGTTCAGTGTAACTTCAGGAGTAAAGGAATCCCGATTTGGATATTATTTTTTATGATCTGTAATGCCACTCTGATACTTTAAGGAGAAAGGTCTCAAATCTCCAGTCTTTGTAACATTCTCATTCTAAAATGGTTTGTACCAGTCACTAAATGTGCTTTCTAGCATCTTCGATCCATAATGTGTTCTAGGGATTACTTTTCAGGACTCATCCATAGGTAGTTTTTACATTTTATCATGTACTGTTACATTATTAAGTGCAGTACTTTAAAATGTGTGAAGACTCAGTTTGAGTATTACCCTAGACTTAGTTTGAGCATAAAGTCTGCAATGGCAGTCTATAAGTCAATAGAAGTTCTCTTTGCTCTGGGCCATTTTTGCTTTTAATGATTTATTCTTGACCCCAAACACAGTTCTAGTCAAGTGTGAGCAACCTAAATGAAGCATTCCTTCACTGTTCTGCTGCAAGAGATGAGGAAAATAGAAAACACACACACACACACAAAAAAAATAAAAGATCTTACCGTTTCTTTCTTGGTTTTGGCTAGTGTCTCCTTTGGAGGGTTTCTCTGTCTACTCTGAGATTCAGCTCGTGATATATAATCAGCTACTGTTACTGTTCAAGGAAAAAAATTACAGTGATGCTCATATCAGAATTCTCATTAGGCTTCACATCTCTTTTCTGTACAAGCTATGCTATAAACTGGGGACATCTCACAAAAGGCCTTCACACTTACAGGTATCAACTACATAGCAAGGATCAATTTGGTTCTATTAAATACAGCTTTCAGTAAAATCTGTGGTAAGGTGATGATACGGAGGTAGAATCTTAAAGTTACTAAATTAATAATTTTGGCCCAATTGTAAATTTTACTGGGGCTTTCTGATTGGGCTTGAAGAGATCAGACTGCAGGCTCTTAATCTACTGACTGTGTTTGTCACTGGGGTTTTACCATCTTGAGTGACAATTTCATACTAATGAAATGAAGTTAAAATATGAAAGGAATTGGGGGAGGGTCAGAGTAATCACGATAAAATAGCATTCAAATCTTTCTTATTTCATAAAGCCATTGGCAAGAGAACTCACCCTCCTCCTGGCATTCAAAACGCAATCCACACAGTTAACTCTGGCTGATGGGTGGGTGGGGTAATTGTGGTGTGTGTACAGACACTTGGCAGCTCTGCATGAGTGAACCCATACTCAAAGGCAGGACAGCCATGCCTGGGCTGTTATGGCTACACTTAATGAATGCTGGCCAGGGCTTTGCTGACCCCTTTTTTGTCTCACCCCCCGCCCCAGCACGTGTTCTTGCAGCCTGGGGTTTGCCCTATCCCACCCTCTTGTAACCACACCAACTGGGAGTCAACTCCATCTTTATAATGTCATACTACCAATTTACGTACATGCTTGTACCTTTGATGTGATACAGCACATAGAATTGGCAAGCACTGTCTGCTGAACAGCACAGTCAGTTGCATTTAGTACATCATGCACTCAGGTGAACTGTTTTTCTGGCTTAAGGAATGATGTGCATGAAACCCACATCAGAACAGGAAGCACAACACAGGAATTTCTCCATTACGTTAAGTGGACTTCTTGTAACTGGCTCCTTTTATCATGATCAAGACCAAGTGACTTCCTTCACAAGGAGAGCTTTTTCTTTAAAATGAGGTTCTGTACCCAGCTCCTGTGATGTACAGGTGCACCTTTACATCACAGTGCACATTTTATGCACAGTGTCAGACACCAATTCTTAATAGTCATATACATAATAGGAAATCAAAATATGTAATAACATAAATCAAATAATGCAACCAAAGGACTGGACTACACTGTTAGCACCAAGGGAATTCCTCCTGTCTTGAAGTCCTCTTGCTATATATATACTTACTAAGTATTTATGAAGAGATTATTTTTTTAGAGCATTTTTCACAGAAACAGTATAACTGACTACCACTGCTCTTACTGTTGCATTTAAAAATATTTATTATGCAAACTGAAAATGGTATCTGTAACAAGACATCAACAAAGAAAAAAAAGAAAGGAGAAATTGTCTTTGGGAAATTCTGTTCTTTGAATACTTGGATTTAAAAGATGAATATCACAGCTTTCTGGAGCGATGACCAATATCTCACTATATTCCTGGCTGAAATTAGCTTCTTAAAGGTAAAAGCTGAAATCCATTTTTACTTTTTCCTTCCCCTTTATGAACTCCTATGATTGTTACAAAACCAGATGTTGAAAAGTAAAGAGTTACTTTTGGTTTGGATGTTTTTTTTTTTTTAGGGGGTGATGGGGGG